CGTGCTCCGCAGCGGGAGGGAAAAAAAGAGAGGGCCCCCCGAACCAAAAAAAAAAAAAAAAAAATTAGTTTCAAGGTAACTAGAAGTAATAGGATCACTTATGATCATTTAAGTAACCTGAAAAAAGATGACATGAAAATTATCCCAGAGACCAGGAAACACTTTAAAAATGCCACTGTTCTAGTCATAAGTTTTTCTCATTATTTATTTCTTTTTAAGAGACAAAGCACAAAAATATTGAAATTTTTTTTTAAAAAAAGAATGCTTATTTACAGCATAATCTACACTGAGTGGGAAATAAACTATATTTTATAAGTACTTTATTTACAGTCTGACTACGTTACAAAATGCCCCCCAAACCTTTTATGCCTGAATTCTGTACAATTTACTTTAATTCTGTACAATTAAAAAATAACAAAAACAAAAACCTTCAGTAACTATTATATAGTTACTATTATAGAGATACCAAGCATTCAAAGAAATTAAAGTACATAAAAGACCTAACTAAATAACCAGAAAATCCTGTTCCTGAACTCATGCAATTTGTTTTATATAGCAAACAAAAAATAAAGGAGGGCAAATCAACTTAGACATATTCATACTGCATAAAAAGGGAAAAGACAGAGGCAATACCAATAAAAATAATAAAACTTACATCCCCAATGATTTTCGCTGTTACTGTTGGAACTGCACCTGATATAAATAAAAACATATAATGTAAGATCTTATTATTTAAACATTAGTATTAAAAGCTGATATCTGGAAAAAACACACAAAGTTTCATAATAAAAACATGTATTATCTTACTTTGATTCAGGGGAAGAGTAACACCTAAAGCCTAATATGAGAAAAAGAGATCTGGAAACTACAAAAACACTGTTTAATGCCATAGTAGCACATTGTGAGCCACCATTCCTAATATGAATGTGACAAACACATGAAAATGAACACTGACCAAAAAAAGTAGAGAAGCCTTATATTCAACCTCAAAAAGGCTAGATAAATGCTTTCAAATCAAGTCATACCTTGTAAGACACTGTTAGAATTCACTGTGGGCTGAGCAGCAGGAGCACTTGCTAATGATACTACATTAGCTATAACTGGAGTTGAATCTTTTCTGTGAGATGGGGGCCCTGATGAAGCAGCTGGCACCATGGAAACACTTCCTGATTAAAATAAACAAAAATAAGAAAATCTCATGTAATTTATATGCACATACACAGAACCAACATTTCAAGGAGGTTAACCAATGCTTTTAGGTTAGAGTAAATTCTGTTGGAGCCAAGTGTCACTTCAGGATTAACTGGATTTTTTTCTGTTTTTTAATTAGTGAACGTTGAAAGTATTCCATGTACTTTCTCTTGCGTAACTATGCATGTGGTATATTTAAAAGGCTATGTGATTTAGATTCTATGTTCTTTCTCTCAAATCCTTTTCTAAGGAAGTCAAGATGTATGTCTTCAATTATAAAACATTAACTGCTATTCTTCCCCATAAAGTTCTTACAGAGTTTATTTGACTCAACATGCTCAGGGAAAACTAAAAGAACTCGTTTTTACAGGGCATTAATCTAAGGTGTTAAACAAAAAGAGATCTAAATGTTAATGTCATTTGAATAGAATGAAATTTACGTTTCATGAAATTATTGACAACTACTTAATGTTCTCAACTTGTAGAACAGTAGTTAGTCCCTGGCATTGACCAAAGACTAAAGTTTAATTTTACCTGCATTATTTTGTGAAGGTGGGTCACACATACTTTGCTGATTACAGAACATCAAGATACAAAGCAGGTTACAGAAATGTTTCATTTCTCCCCGCCATTTCAAGGACTCACTGAGCTTACCCTGTCGCTTACAACCATCACATTTGGCCATCTGAAAAAGAAACAGAAGATAGTAAAGAAGTAAAAAACAAACTGTCTATGGTCTGATGGAATAAAAGCAGGCCACAGGTAACAAGTGAAGAAATTTACTTAGAATTTAGATCACAAAAATGAAGGTTAACTATCCTGGGGGGAGGGGCAATATAGAGGTAGGGGACTAAGAGGTACAAACAATTATGTATAAAATAAGTTATAAGGATATATTGTACAACACAGGGAATACAGTCAATATTTTATAATAACTATAAATGAAGTATAACCTTTAAAAAATGTGAATCACTATATTGTACACCTGTTAACTTATATAATATCATACCTCAAGTATAATTCAGTTTTTTAAAAAATGAAGGTTAACGATCCTAAATTTGGAAATAATTACTTACCTATCAACTATTTTGTACAACATTAAAAAAGGTCACATTATAGAGATGCCAATAAATAGTAATTTTAAAATAAGTGAAATGGATATAAACCGATCTTCCTTAAAGACATCAGAACACAATTCATTTTAGTTAATAAATGAATATAATTTTAAATATTTTAATGTTTTAAGACTGATATGTCTTCTATAAGGAAATTAAAAACAAATGTAACTTCAGTGACATTAAAGTCTTTTTAAAATCTTATATTAATACTAGAGGAGAACAGAATACATTTAATACTTAAAAGTTTTAAATCATTAATTGCCCTTCACACTATTTGAAAGAAAAAAAGAAGGGAAAAATATGCCCTGACTTGAAAAACCCAGGAATGTGAATTATATTTACCTGATAGAACAGAACTGTATATTTGGACATGCACTCTTCACAACAAAACTCTTCTACTTTCCCCCCTAAATTATTCTGTACCAATTTGGGAGATGTCTGTAAACAATAACTGCACATTTTACAGTGATTTCCCCAGCGTTTTGCCAAGTCATGTTTATAAAGCAATTTGCAACCTAAAAAAATCAGAGAAGATAAAATTAACATTAGGGAGAAATAATAAGTATCTACATCTTTAATTTAAATGTCCTACAACAAAGTTTGCACATTTGGGTTCTCACCAATTAGTAGATCAAGAGATCAATTTAGAGGATTAATACTATCATTTTCTGTTTTTAAACGAAGTAAGACAGCAGAGCAAATATTACAGTGCATCATATACGGTAAAAGTCAGTTTTGTTTCATGAAACTTTTGTTTTATTTGGGTATGTGAACATACACTGGGTCACAATGTAAAATGTATGTCTTGTTTGTGTCGTGGTCAAAAGGTTTGAAAGCCACTAGCCTAGGAGGCTAATCCTGCATGGTTTTAGAGTAAAACAAAACATTCTAACCTTATAGTCATCTAAATAAGGAAGACACTGATTCACATATTCAGATCATTTATATTCAGAAACATAATGGATGTTTAAAACAATAAAAGTATTATCTTAGGATGCTACCAAAATTTAAGCAGTTCCCTTTAGAAATAAATACAAGAACTAAAGGATCCCTATCAACCTAATAGCTAACATTAAATGTTTTTCACATCACCACCATTTTTTGCTATACACATTGAGGAGATTTTTCTTCATTTTAACATCTATATAATATGAAGAATTAGATCCGAAAAGAGAGAACCAAGTATAAACAAAACAAAAAGGTTTTGGTGTTATACACAAAAGATAAAATAAACTTACACAGTGACAGCTTAAATCATCAACTACTTTTGAAACAACAAACATGCTCAGTAGGTAAGATAATCTTCTATCTTTACCTTCACTACAGAATGACTTGTCAGCACCTGAGAATCGCACAGTCTCCTTTACAATTTTCTCAATTTTACAATATTCACACATTGCCATTACATTATTTATTTTCTTATATTCATCAGAACAATTTTTGCCACAGAACTGAAACATTTTACCCTGCAAAGAAATAATCATTAAGTACTAATTAAACATTTGGTTTATCTTGTGGAAATCTTTATCCCTCTTATTTTCAAAACAAATAGTGTATTTCTGAAAGATGAAAAGCCAGAAATAAGTTTACAGATAGACCAGTTTATACTCGAACCCTCTATCATGCTCCTTTACTCTACCTTATAATCAAGAAGTTCTGGTTTTGTGGCAAAGAGACGGTTACAGTGCTGACACTTGAGTTTTACAACACTTCGTGCAAACCCAACATGTTGGGATTGGGCAGCAAGACGCTGGAGACCAGCTGCAGCAGAGCTACTGATGGAGGTGGGAGAAACAGCAGAGGTGTTACCGCCTCCTGCTGACACTGTTGAACCTGTAGGGATGCTTACAATTACTTGGCCCTGAGACAAGGGCACCACTGAAGAGTTCATTCCTGCTGGTTTGTTGAACAAATTCTGAAAGAAGAAACAAACAAAAAGATCGATCTATTCATTTGTTCAAACAAGAAGGTACTGAATACCTACCTATGTCAAGCACAGTTCTAGGCACTTAACATACATTTGTGAAAAGGCAAACATCCCTGCCTTTGAGCAGCTTATAGCTGAATGGGGGGAGTGATATTTATATTAAAAAATGAAATAATTTAATAATACTCTTTAAAAATAATATCCTCCCAATAGATAATCTAGGTAATAATAGTACCATTTAATTTCACAGAAGGCAATTCAATAACATGCCTCCAAAAATAGGATGGACCAAAGAACCCAAGTTTAAAAAGACTGAGGTAGAAATTTAGGCAATCCAGGCACTTAGCAACCACCCAATAAGTTTACTTTACTATCACAGGCAACTAACTGGAGAAAAGGAAGAGTCCTGAAGCCATACCTGGAAAGCTACCACACAACTGTAGCTGCAGAAGTTGCGAATACTTCCATCTGACATGGCTAGGTGATACTGAGGGATTGCTGAGGTTTTGCAACTGTTACACTGAACTTGTACACCTTAGCAAATCAAAATAAAAGCTAATGAGTAATACAAATGTAAACAAATGTATGAGAAAATAAGTATTATACGATACATGAAAATTCAAGGGCCAAGTCAAGTTGCAGGAACTGAAATTAAACTTAGTTACCTCACATACAGACAAAAACTAACAACGTTAAAAATATTTCTGTTTATTTAAAGTTGTCACAGTCTACACCCTGAAACTAAAAAATAAATGAATCTTGAAATAAATCAGGTGTAGGTAAAGAAAATACATTTTAAAAGCCATAAATTCTTTTGGTAAGAAAGAATGCACAAATAGGCAAGCAACTAAATAAACATAAAATAAGCAATCAAGATAATAGGTGATATTTTACAACACAGATCTGAAGTATTTTAAATTTGCATTAAAAATCAACTAAATTTGGACAAAAATCTGCGCTATAACAACAAAGCAATAACCATAAGTTATTCAACTATTATATTTATAAAGTTTATGAAACCAGTATTACCTGCAGAAGTAACCATTTTAACTCTGTAAGCAGATAAGCAATTAACAGAACAGAAAAGCTCTGTCTTTCCCAAGCTATTGGTATTTTCAATCATTTCTGCTGAGGATCTCAATGATTTGCAAAGCGCACATGGTGTAATTTTGGCTGATTTCTATTAAGAGAATAAAATAACATTCATTTTTACCAAGTTACAAGTAAAAGCATAATTCTTTGAAATATTTATACTTAACACTGTTGAAATATTTTAAATTAGTGGCTTCCAAACTTTTATGATTACAATCCTCAGTAAGAAATAAATTTTACGAAGTGACCCAGTAACACATACTTCTGAGGTTTTGTGTTTGTGTATTAAACATGTATGTATATAAAACTGAAAGGTTTTATAAAACAATATATATCATGATAACATGTGATGCACTTTGATATTTTTCCACTCTACTCTACTTCATTAAAAAATATGTTGGGCACAACCTAGCAATTAATTTTGGGATCTATTAAGTTGTTATAGCTATAGTTTTAAACACACTATTTTAGCCTTCCCCCAAGATAAGGTTACGGGGTTAAGTACAAAATACTATGTATAAAATAAATAAGCTGCAAGAATATATTGTACAAAACCTCCAAACAAACAAAAAAACCCACTATTTAAAAAATTACACAACAGGGAATTCATGCTCTTACACTATTCAAAGAATTGGAAGAACTTCCCACAAAAGGTGCTATATATAGCAATGAAATGTGAATCCAAGGAAATTAATAAACTTACTAGAAAATTCACACTCAAATATTCTACCACTAATAATAACAAAGCACAGGGACTTCCCTGATGGTCCAGTGGTTAAGACTCCGCGTTTCCACTTCAGGGGGCGTGGGTTCGATCCCTGGTCAGGGAACTAAGATCCCGCATGCCGCGTGGTGCAGCCAAAACAAATAATAACAACAACAAAGCACACTCTAAGCAATAAAGTGGGAGGAAACTTTGCATATCCCAAGTGTCCAAATATAAGCAACGAAAGAGTCTGTTATCTTAAATTTCCACTCAGTGATTTAGTAGCAAATAATGCTAAATACTATTAACATGTCATACATTCAGGATAACTTATAAGGTATATCCAGCACCCATTAAGAGAATTTCAAGATCTCTATGTCCTCTTCAACGATAAGTCTGTTATACTTACTATTAAAATAAATACATATTCAAGTGAGCATATTCCTACATTCTGGAATCTCTTCTGTATCTCCAACCCTATTTCTCCTTTCCTCCTCCATCAGGACTGCAAACACAAACTTCATTTATAAGAATTAGGTCAAGAGTTATCTCTGAAACTATCAAGTAGAACTGACCTTGCTTCCACTGTGCCCCTCTACATCCCGTAACACTTCTATCGTAACATCTCTACACACTTGCATCTCCCCCAGGGGACATGTAACACCTCAAAACAGGAATCACATCTAATGTTTGTTGAATAAATTTTATATAAGGAAGAAAAGAAAAGTAGCAGAAATGACCATCTTCAATGTTCCAGGTTCTATACTAGGTGCTTTCTCATTCTTACTTCATATAATCCTAAAAACATCCCAGTGACATTGCTAGTATATACCCATTTACAGATAAGAAAATGGACTCGGGGAGTTTAACTGCTTTCCCCAAGGTTAAATTCTATTTGAACAGAAAGTCTGGGAATCAAACCAAGATCTGCTTTACTTCTAAATCCACGTTCTTTCTCTAAACCACAGTACACACTAATATGTGAAAATTTTAATAGGTATTGGCTAAATTAAAAGTAATAAATTTAAAATTAAGATATTTCAAAATACTTCTCTTATGGAATGTATACCACCTTTCAATGGACTGAATCAAAGTAACTTTTAGAATGTGATACAATATCAGGAAAACTGTCCTTTGTACAAGAATAAAGCTAATGAAGATATTGGGTTTTTCCCCCCCTTTGAGAACAAAAACAAGGTGTTTCTAAGGAAGAAATAAATAGTAACTAACACTAATCCCTTTTAATGTGCTTGTATATTAACAAGAAATAAATTGAAACACTAGAATGTTTAAAATTACAAAATCATTGCAAAGTTTTAAGAACATTTAAGAGAAATTTCCAAATTAACATTATTAAATTCACCAATTTTGGTAACCTGTATAAAAATTTACTATTCTAAGAAAAAGAATGATCAGCAAATGCAGTGAAACAGGAAGACATTGTAAAACTGAAAATGTAAAAAGTTCTTACTATCCCTTTGGGTTTACCAATTTTAAAATTGAACTTCTGATCAAAATTTACTAACAAAATATAAATCTAGTATAAATAAAACTGCCAACATTGCTAATTATTGGAGAAATGCAAATCAAAACAAACCACAGTGAGGTACCACCTCACACCAGTCAGAATGGCCATCATTAAAAAGTCTACAAATAACAAATGCCAGAGAGGGTGTGGAGAAAAGGGAACCCTCCTACACTGTTGGTAGGAACGTAAATTGGTGCAACCACTGTGGAAAACAGTATGGAGGTTCCTCAGAAAACTAAAAGTAGAATTACCACATGATACAGCAATCCCACTCCTGGATATATATCCAAACAAAACTGTAATTCAAAAAGATACATGCACCCCTATGTTCACAGCAGCACTATTAACAATAGCCAAGACACGGAAACAACCTAAATGTCCATCAACAGATGAATGGATAAAGAAGATGTGGTACATATATACAATGGAATACTACTCAGCCATAAAAAAGAACGAAATAATGCCATTTGCAGCAACATGGATGCAGCTAGAGATTATCACACTAAGTGAAGTAAGTCAAAAAGAGAAAGACAAATACCATATGATACCACTTATATGTGGAATCTAAAATCTGACACAAATGAATCTATCTATGAAACAGAAACAGAATGAGGGACATAGAGAATAGACTGGTGATTGCCAAGGGGAATGGGGATGGGAGAGGGATGGATTGAGAGTTTGGGATTGGCAGAAGCAAAGATTAGAAGGTATACACCAAAATGATGGGACTGGGTAACTCTGAGAGATGCCTAATTTTTTCTTCTTTGTGCTTTTCTGCATTTTCAAAATCTTGTTCAAAAACATTAATCATATTTTAAATAAAATAATCCATACCCTAAAAACATGTATTGATATTTCAAATGCATTAAGAGAAATACAGTCTGCCCTCCATATCCCTGGGTCCCACATCTGCAGATTTAACCAAATGCAGATCGAAAATATTCCAGGAAAAATATTCCAGAAAATTCCAAAAAGGAAAAGAATTTGCTGCACACTGGCAACTATTTACACGGCATTTACATTGTATTAGGTATTATAAATAATCTAGAGATGATTTAAAGTATGCAGGAGAATGTGTGTAGGTTATATACAATTACTACATCATTTTATATAAGGGACTTGAGCACTCTCAGATTTTGATATCCTCAGGGTTCCTGGAACCAATTCCCCATGGATACTGAGGTACAACTGTATATGGTACTTATAAAACTCTATAACAAGAGTTTTTTAACACACATGCATTTTAAAAATACTATTTACATGCAAAAATATTAAGCTAATAACAAGAAATTAATATTTTCCTGACATTTTCATAAATAATTTCTATCAAAAAAATTCAATCCTTCTGAAAGGAACAAAGACATCAGGATTAAATATGGTCATGTACCTGCTTATATGCTGTGACACATGTGGAACTACAAAACTTCTTAGCCTGTCCCTCTATCTGGAGCATGTGGCATTGTCCAGAGCCACTGTAGCAGTAACCCCCACAGTTTTCACAACAGTTCATGGTGAGGTTGTTAGCAGAGCGAAACTTAGAAAAGCAGGCATCACTGCAAAGTTTATGTACCACATTCTGGTAATTAACTTCATGTCGAATCTAGGAATTATAAAGTAATAACTTAGAAACAACAAGCAAAGACCATCAAAAGCTGTCCTTTAAGCACAAGTATCAGACTCCTTCCCCCACTAAAGTAAAAAGATAACTTACAACAGCATTCTTCTGACACATGCTGCATTTGGTTGAAATGCTATTCGTATTTATGGTAACAACAGGTTTTCTTTTCAGTTCATATGTTGACAAACATGACTGACTACAAAAATCTTTACTAGTGGTGGTATTTTCAAACTGGGCACTGATCACATCCTTTGGATTTAAAATGTCTCTAAAAATGACAACAAAGATAAAATAAGCCATAGTATAATTCATTTTTTTCCTTTTTGTCAACTAAAAATATCAAATAAAACAAAGGCAATTAAAAGTGTAGGGAAAGGGCATTGGTATTTAAATCTGAAAACCTGGGTTTTCTTGAATAAAGTGGTAAATCACTTTGATCCTCAACCTCTGTTGTATAAAATGAAACTAATACACGGCTTAGTTCATAGAACTATTGTGAGGATTAGTACACTATGTTTCAAGATTAAAAAGATATACATCAAACATTTATCATTCACTCTCTCTAGTAGGTAGGATTATAGAAGATGTTCATTTTCTTCCTTAGGCTCTCCTATATGTTCAAAAATACTCTTTAACATTACACTTGAAAAATTTTAAAGCCACTATCTTTTAAAAGTAGGAATACATTTCAAACTACAGAGCGCATATTCTAGCATGATTATATAAAATTGAACATTTCCAGATCTAAATAATTCAATTTGTAAGCATTAGCAGTAAAAGACAATGAAGATTAAAACCCTAAGGATTAAGACTGCCTACCACTCCACCCCTTATCCCACTCCCAAATTACTCTTCCTACACAGTAGTTTATCGCTTAAGTACAAACCATTTTAAAAACCAATTTTAAAAATACCTTGATGAAAAAAAAAAAAAAATACCTTGATGAAATTCTATAAACAATGTCTCTCTCCCATGAGTATACACTCACATAATATTTAGTAAATAAACTGTTATATTCACTCTTACATTTTAAACAGATTATACTAATATAGTACTTTTTAGAAAAGATTACAAATATCTCTGCTTCAAAAAAAAGATAATAGTAAATATAATGGGACTCATCCCAAGGAGCACCTGATATTGTACTATGCTGTAATACACAACATCACACCTCATCTTCAATACTTAGTAGCTTGAGAGTGCTCTATTACCTGCATTTTTTTTTTGGCCTTTCCAGCTACTTTTTATTGGGTTTTAATCTATTTCATTTATAAGGGTATTTAATGAGCAGTTACCTTGAGCCAGGGACTAGCCCAGCCCTATGTCAAGATATGGTACAAGCCCTCAAGGAGCTCACAGTATACTGGGACAAATAGACAAATGATATATAAAATACCATAAAAGAAGCATTCTTAATATAAAAAAGTAAAATAATTTTGAAAAATGTATTTATATACATAAAATATACTACAGAAATAGAAATGAAGAAACAATTATTTCAGACAAGATGTGACATGAAAAGCTACCCAAAAGGTGGTATTTTAGCTGGACCTTAAATAGATGTTTTCTAGAAGGCTAAGGAGATAAAAGTTGGAGAACAGCGTGGATCAAGGCAATAGAATCATAAAAGTAGCTACTTCTCACTACTCTCAGTATGCTTAACATCCAACTGCATTACATTTTATTGTAACAGATTACATCTTATCAGAATGAGAAGGAGCAATCTCATTTCAGATAGTAAAAATTCAGATGGTACAGACAATCCTGAAACAGTTACCTCTCTTACTGCCATTATTATCAAGAAAACTGATCTTTCTAACAGTATTAACAAAAGTACCCTCCAAGTTACCTCTTTTAAAGTGTAGGATTTGAAACTGATTTTTTTAAAACAAATTGTTAGGTCCCTATTTCTAATGAAATCTAAAAATTAAATGATGATTAGCCAAAACATATTCAGAGTTTAGGTTAAATTCAAGATGCTAAGAGATTTGGTTAATAAAAGACTAACAAAAATAAAATTGTTACTCCAAACAGCTAAGGAGTTTCTTTCAACCTAAGTGCTGCTGCTATATTTCTAGTGGTCTACAAAAACAGCAGTAGTTATCAGGAAGGAAATCTTTTCTATCTCCACCTATTCAAATTAAAGTAAAAATCCTTCTTATAGGGACTGACTTACAAATTAAACCTGTTCAATGCATGGACTATCTAGAGGGGAAAATGCATGTGCCAGAACTACCCAGCTATGTGACACTGAGCAAATCATTTAACTTCTTTGAATCTAACTTCCTTATATTTCAGGCACAATCCAAATCAATAATTTTATAATCAGATAAACCAGACTATCCCAAACTGCTGTAATGACTGTGTAAATAAGAGAGGAAAAAGGGAAGGAAAGGAAAAGTGGTGAAAAGGAGATGAAAGCGTAGTACAGAAAATGAAATGGAATACAAAGAAAAACAAGACTGATAAATGGTTGAGAACTGAGCAACAAGAGAAAAAGGTATTCTGTAAGAAGAGAAGGGGGGAAAATTAAGAAAGACAGAAAATGAAAAAGAAAAGTTGAGGTGATAGGCAGGCAAGGAGTACCTGAAAGAAGAACAGAAAGGGGTGAATGGAAAAGAACAAGGGATAAAAAAAAAGATAACATAGTAAGTGAATGAAAAGGTAGAACAGTTAAAAGTCAAAGAACGACAGGTTAAAATTCATGGATAAGACCAAACATTACAAAAGAAGAACATTTAATCTTTAAAATAATTAAATTACATAAGATCAGACAGAGCTAAGATATGACATGCAGGTAAAATGACCATCTCCAGATAAAGCAAGGCAAACACCAGAGACCAAAGAGATATAGTAAATTTAGATGAGAAGAACAACATGTATGGACAAGAATTAAAAAACACAGAAAGAAGGCACACATTTTAAAACTTCCATGAGCTTCCTATGGTCATTTTGAAATTCACTGTTAAATCTTTGCACTAAGTATCTATGACTATTATTATGAAAGGAGAAATACTGCTGAAATTTTAGAAAGCGCTGATCGCTAAAGTAAGAATTAAATAAAGAAACATAAAAAGAAGCTTTTACATGAAATTATTTCATAGCAAAATAGGAAAAGAACAAAGAACCTTACAAAAATTATAATTTTCTAGTTGATTTGATCTTAGAAAGGATGAATATACTGGAATATAGAAATTAGATATCATCTGTAAGTACTCTTTTTTAAACATGTTTCATAATTCAAACAAGTCTATTTTTACTAAATTAAACTTGAAACATAAAGGGATGCAAATATAACTTCTAGAACATCTTCTAACCATACTCAAATTTCTTTTAGAAGTTTCTTTCTATACTTTTTCCTATTGAATCAGAAGAGGGAGCATCTTTTCCCTTTCTAGACAGAGAAAGGGCAGCACCCATGTGAGGTACTCTAAGTACAAATATCGAAACTAATAAATCATGGTTTGAGTAGCTTAATAATAGAAGCCAAAATATTTCAGAACAAGAGCATTATTCATCTTTTTCTGACTTATTTAAACAGTGTCTAATGACCACATTGCAAAATTAGCCTAAGTTAGTTCATATTCCTCAAATATATCAGGATGATTTTATTAGGATCTAAGGTCATAATTTTTTGTTGTTAAACACTGAAATACAACCTCTGAGATACCTGAGATACTGAGAAAATAAAAATACATACACTGGAATCCAATTAAAGTTAAGATGAAAAGTATTAAATGAATTCCAACTACCTAATAGAAAACATTACATAAACATTAAATATTTGTTGCATCTAAGCATCTATTGCCTACAGTTACAAGATAAAATATTGTGGTCATGTAATACCCTTAAATGGCATAGTTTTTGTTTTCTCAAGCATCTCAACTAACAAGGATAGTAAAGTACATTTCAAAAGCACCTCTTATTATACAAAAGACACATTACTTAAAGTTAAAAGAAAGCTGAGAACCTAGCGTCCAGAAAGATTAAAAGCAGCAACAACATGTTCGTAGTAAACAATGTGATATTTCTCAAAAAACATAGAAAGGTAGAAAATTAAACAATACATAAATAAGAACAAAGTATCTTGAAAGAAAGAAAGCAAAGACGATAATTTAGAATTCTGCTATACTTTGAGCAACTTGAACAAGTTTTCTTAGTGGGAGGAGGCGGTGGGCGGGCAGGTGGAACTGTATATCCAGTGAGGCACAGTGTAGAGCAGAATAGCTGAGTAGACCCTTTCCTCTGATAAGCAGTTTGCCCCTTCTGGAGGATTTTTTTACAACCAGAACAGGAAACTCGAACAGCTGTGGCTGGAACTGAAGGAAGCATTTTATTCATGCCAGATGATGCCAGTGAAGGCTGAAAGCCAGTAGTCAACTGTGGAGCTTTAAAAAAAAAAAATTTAAAAAAAAAAGTTTTACTTTTTACCATGAATTTTAAGTAGGCATCCTTTCTTTCTCTTCTAGAGCTAGTCTTGAAACCCAACACTAATTATGCAATACACAATTAAAGCCATTCTAAACTGCCTAGTTTACTAATGTAAGTAGATACTTCCTCTCACTCATACTGGTCAGAATAAATAAACATGATTCATTCATTCAGTTCTGCTTCTTACCAAGAGGACTGCCACTGACTGAAAACACAGCACTAATTTTCAGTTCCCCTTCTTGAGTTTTTTGCTGTTGGCCATGACTATACTCCTTTTAAAAAGAAAAATAAATAAATATGTAAAGAAAAAATAAATACAATGTATCTAAAGAAATCCAGATATTCAAGACATTTTACTATGGCTATATAGGGGTGGAAAATGTTTACTACATTAACATTAATAAGTAATAGCAAGCAAACTATAATTACAATAAGGGTATAACATGTTTATACACGCTGAGAGTTGAGGTAAAAAATGACAGTAGCTATCTAGCCTATAGCACTACCAGATATTCACAAATTATTTTTTAAATTCTTAAAATTATTACAGTATTTTAAGTTGCTGTTTATCTATTATAAAAGTAATACACACTTACTATACAAAATTTAGACAAGTAGAAATGAGAAAAAAATTCTAATCATATTTCCATTACCCCAAAACAACCACTGTTACTCTTTTGTTATATTTCTTTCCAGTCTTTTCCCCTGCCGTATGTGTTTCTTCACACAGCAGTAATTATACTGAATATAGCATTCTTATAAAATGATTTTTTGGTCACTTGAATCAACTGAACATTTGCATATTATCACATATTACTCTAAAATAAATTCTAGTGGCTAAATATCAGTGTTTCTAAGGTTGGAGTCCAAGAATCCCTGAGGTCTGTAAAGGCAGACCAGGCAGTCTGAGAATTCTAAAAAAAATATTTTAAAAGTCTGGGTTTTTATTTCAATAATTCTTTTAGTGAATGTAAGTATATTTTTAGTCATGAATAACCACATATAACTGAGTTGTACAACAAGTTTTTAGTGCTGTTGTTAGCTTTTACAATTCTATTATTGCATTGTGAAGCCCCTAAGTGGTAGATTTAACTTTGTATTTTAATTCACTGTTTATCACACTGAAACTTGCAAAACCCTGAAAGACGTCTTATTCTTGGAATTCTCAGGCAACTCCAACATACCGCCTTTTTTTGTGATAAGACGTGTCTGTACATTACTGGAATTCAAGAAAATACTGATATATATTATTTAATAGACATATCAGATTACATAAGGATGAGACTGGGGTGAGGTGAGGCACTTGCCTCAGGCACAAATTAAGGCACCAAAAATCTCAGTAATTATTTTTTAAAATGCCATAATCCATCATAAACAAAATACCAAAACTTTAAATAAGTAAAGACAGGATCAGTATTACTAATTTTTCCCTTGGCCTCAGTCTCCAATTTGATAGCCCTGAATGGCACTGAAATCACATAACCACAACCCAGTGTTGGTTCACTTGTTCCCACACATTTGCATAATGCCATGATGAACATCTCTGTGAATACTCATACACTCATATTTAGGATTATCTCCTAAGGAAAGAATCTTAAAGTGGAATTACTAGGTAAATAAGTACATAGTAAAGGTTCTTAATGCACAATGACAGATTGTTTTTTAAAACCTTAATTTTATTTATTCTAGCAATTTGTGATAAAAGCCACTTAAAAGTCTCTTCCCATTCTTGTTTTAATTTCCAATTTTTTTAATATCCATTTACAAAAAAAGCATTATAAGGTAACAAGATTAACCTCTGATAACATCTGTTATCAACATTTCCTCAATATGTACTATGAGATAAATTTTACATACTGAAGTTTCCATTTTTATGCCAAAAAACTGACAGTTTTTACCTTTGCGATTCCTTCTATTTCTTACAAAGTTCTACTTCCACAATAAAATACTAAGAAAGTTTTCATTGTTTATAATACAGTCCTTTAATCCAGAGGTCAGCAAACTTTATCTGCAAAGGGCCAGATACTAAATATTTTTGACTTTTCAGGCCATGCTATCACGACTACTCAAGTCTGCCCTGGTAGAGCAAAAGTACCCATAGATAATATGTAAATGAATGAATGTGGCAATGATCCAATAAAACTATAAAAACAGTGTGCAGAAAAACAAAACAGAAACAAAGAGGGCAGGCTGGATTTGGCCCACTGCTGAAAGATAATTTGCCAACTCCTGCTTTAATCCATCTGTGATTTATTGATATTTATTTTGATATATAATGAGCATTTTTCTTTTTCTTTCTTTGAATAGCTGATGAATTCCTTCCACTCACCATTAACATATCAACTTCCTCTAAAAATATCTCTTTTATGGCAATCTATTCTGCATCACTATCAGGCTGACTACTCTTATGATATCACACTATCCTAATGAAAATAATTGTGAGATGTTTAATCATTTAATAGTTCACCACATCTCTAATGTTTAGAGCATACATGTAACATAATGTGTGTGTGCATGCCTATTTATTTTTCTTCAAAACATAAGAAACCACTGATATTTTCATAATTGTATCCATACTGTATCTTAATTTAGGAATAACTAATATCTTATATTAAAAAAAGTCTCTGCATTCATTCAAGTTGTTTTATCTGATACAAGCACTTTTTAGTTGCTCTGCTGTAGGAAACAGTATATCTTTTCATAATATTGTCTAACTGGGAAACAACTGATTTATAGAAATATTTCTCTGTTTTATATAACTAAAATTCAACTAGCTACTCCACTAAACTTTCAAGAATTCTATTAATTTTCTAATAAAGATCCTTACCAGTAAATGATGATAATTTTGTCTCCCCTTTTCCATTATTTCTTCTAATTTCTTTAACATGTATTGGGTCGAAAATCCAACAAGAGTTAAATAATAATGCTGACATCAGTAATTTGTGTTCATTTAGTTATTATTAACAGAAGGTTTCCATCATTTTACTTTTAAATTCAATGACTGTTATTGATCAGAAGTAGGTATTTCCTTACCTGATCAAGAGAGTATCTATTATAAGAAATGCATAGTGAATTACATGAAATGTCTTTCGGCATCTGTCTATCTATCTATATATCTAGTCTTATTTGACCTGTTGATGAAGTTACGTATATTAAGAGATTTTCTAATATTGATTCATCATAACATTCCTACATTATATAGTATATGAAAGCATATTACAAGTAAGAAATTTTTTTAAATCTCAGAAAACTCCAGAAAAAAAATCAGTATTCATGGGCATACTTTCATGGTCTCCAGTCAGCTCTCTTTCTCACTGTCTGTGACAGTTATTTCAAACTTCTGATACATTCCTTAAGCCTCAAGTACATATTACTTATATAATGTAGTAAAGTAAGAATATATCTTAAGTACTGTGCTTGTACACCCCACAATGCCTTCAAGGCATAATCATGTTTATGTTAGTATCCTCCCAACAATGATTAATTTTACAAATATTTAATAAAAAATCAATAACTAATAACTTGAGAAGTGAAAAGCTGATGACCCAAAAGCTTTCAGAAACAGAAAAACAGGTGTCAAAACAAAACCAAAAAATCCTCTACCACAATATCTTTACCTTCCCTTTATTTACCATAAAGTATGTATCAGTATCCCAAGACAGTATTTTAGAAATGAAGAACCCAGTTTCTATAACCAAGTTAACTTGACATGGCTAAAAAAACAAGCCCCAACATTGAATTACTGCATTCCATTTGCCAAGACTATATGACTCACTATTGTGACAATTAATTAATTTGCTTTCCCATTCTAATCCATTTACTTCAATGAGAGATTACAGATTAGCTCTCCTTTTATTATGAGCAAAAAGAAAAGAAAAAAAATCATGATTTTAATGTAATATTTACTGAATTTCCAGCTTTCAGAAACTATAGAAAAGGGGAGAAGAAAAAATGACGTCTCTGGCTCTTTGAAGTTTTTATTTTAAAAACTTCTCTAGTCATTTTTTTAAACAACTTTTATTTATAGAAAGTTTGGTAGACTATAATAATAAGGCCTTGATGAAGGCCGCTGATTGGCTCCTTCCTGGCCATATGGCCTTGAGTAACTAACTTATTAACCTCTATGAATCTCAGTTCCCTCACCTAAACACAGAGTTAATATCATCTACTCTGGCCTTCTTATATTGGAGGATGAAACAATATAGTACACATAAAAGTATCTGTAAGTATTATATACAGAATATATTATAGTAACATGCAATAGGATTTGAATGAAGAAATGTAACTGGGAGGACAAATGATGCTACACCAGTAACAGAGGCAGGAGGATGACAACTGGCAAACCCAGAAAATTATAACTGAAGAAATAAGAACAATTGGGAAGAAGTAAATATATATATAAACATACATTTCAGTATCTTAGTGATTTACATGGGAAAGTAAAAAAATTAAGACCAAAGTGAACTGTGTAAAAAGGAGAATAAGGAAGTGAGTTGAAAGCAGAGCTACAAGTTAAGCAAAGAGAAAAGCCAAGGGAGGTTTTGACAAGGTGCCAGAAGCTAAAGCTATGATCTTATTACACCAAGAGAAAAGTTATTACAAGTAACTGATGGTCAAAAGTAAAGACTGACCACAGCTGTTAAATCTATCAGTATTTTATGAGCATTAGGTTAATAGTACTGTTTCAGAGTCTAAGAGAATAATTTGTTGGAACTCCTTTTTCCAGTCTATGGGAAATGAATAAGAATAATAAAGCATTAGGCAGTGTTGAACAAGGAATATAGATTTCCTATGGTCACTGAGGAGAAATACCTAAAAGAACAGGACAATGAAGAAGGAGGTGGGAGAAGGGGAGAGGAAATAGGAGGGGGGGAGAGGAAGTAGGAGGGAAAGGGAGAGGAGGGGAAGAGAGAAGGTAAGGAAGGGATGGAAAAAAAAGAAAGAACCAGGTATCCATAATTTAACATGAGGTCAGGGATTTCTAGAAGAGTCATCAAAGGTATGATCCCACAGGATTGGTGTAGCTGATAACAGAAAGGACTTCTCAGAGAACACCTAGTTTTACCACTCACATGCTGGAGCTGCCTTATTGTGGGGTCAGGGCAAAGAATGCTTCTGGACCTTATGTCTAGAACTTACACAGATTCCTGCTTGGTTTTTAAGAGTCCAGTCAATCAAGTGGTGAGCCCTTAGGGAAGTTCTTCCCCAAAATCATGACGAAACTTCATATACGGCATTTTATAACACATTATTACACTTTGAATAGTGATAAAAATGTAGGTGTTTCTGTGTCCTGACTGTTCCACCCTGTTGGTATCCTCCAGTCACTGGAATCTGATTGTTTTCAAAACAGTAATATTGGGTTGGCCAAAAGGTTCATTCAGATTTTTCCGTAAGACATTACAGAAAAACCTGAACGAACCTTCTGGCCAACCCAATACAAATAACCCTTCCTGATGCCCTCTTTTGGCCTTTGCTGTAACTGCCTTTTCAGCTCAAGGAAAGTGTCACTGGGTCATGTACAGGCAGAAAGTGACGTCTTTGGTACCCTGCCAGCATTATGATTTCTTATGGACTTCCCATGTCCAGATTGGGGCACTTAAAAGACAGGAGATCTGCCCTGTATAGGCATGGTAGTAGTCTTCTAAAGCATACACTGCCATATGAACCTCCCCTAGGTGTCAGGACACTTCCTTATCTCTAATTCAGATCTCCACGACCTCCACTTTGCCTGCTTTTATTAACATGTTTTCATTATTCAGATATTTTCATATTCCTTCTCTACCATCTTTGTAGCTACCACACTCACAGCCATCCAACTCTACAGCTTTATCATCACTACCCTATACAGCTACCCTCCAGTGGGCACCATGGCATTCTCACTTAATTGAAGCATCAATCTGACTCACATAAATCACCTACATCCATAAATCACCTATTCTTCCATTTCCTTACTCTAAAAGAGTGGTTCTCAATAGCAGAGGATTTTGTCCCCCAGGGGACATTTGGCAATGTCTGGAGACATGGTACTACTGGCATCTAGTAGGTAGAGGTCAAGGATGCTTCTAAACATCCTACAATGCACAGGACAGCCCCTCACAACAAAGAATTATCTGGCCCCAAATGTCAATAGTGCCGAGAAACCCTGCTAAGAGACATCTGAGTGAAAAAAACTTCTTCCACAGAAGTCTCACATTCTCAACCCCCCTAACATAAAAGAAAGATATGGAAAGGTAAGCTTTCTCCACATCAAATGTCATTTCAAAAAAACAGCTAATTCATGCTATCTTTACTTCTCAGCCTCTGCACTCATACCAGCTGTATAAAACACAGAACACCCTCAAACAACTGCTCTATTGCATATTCATCCCTTGGTCCTTTTCCTACGTTCCAAAATGATTACAGCATCTTTATTCCGTTCCAACCACTGCAATGTCGTTAATTGCATGGATAACTTCACTGACTTCAGCATTCACACTTACAGAATCTTTATGACTTTTACCTCCAGAGCAACCTTGAAATAACAGAGCTCTATCCTTACCCTTATTACTCACAGATCTCAAAACTGGAATCCTATATCACCCATCAAAGCAGCAAAACCTCCTTTATCTTCTACCCACTGATCTAATGAACTGGATCTTCAATCAGCTAATTTTTCCAAAGATTAATTAATCCCATTAATCCCTCCTGAAAAACACTTAAATCCATACATAGCCTATACTTCATTAGCAGCAACTGCAAAAGGCTTATTACTACCTTATGTAAACTCAATCACACCATAAACTCATAAACCATCATAAACCTTCAGCCATGTCTGCTGTATCAATCTCAAATCCTTGAAGACTCACTTTCCCTAATCCTGCACCGAAAATGTAAAATTCACAGAACAGTGGTATTAAGGAACGATGTGGATTAAAAGCCTTAACTACTACTTGGACAAAGTTTCCTATAACTCTGGTTGATTCCTTAGTATTATTCTTATAAGATAATTCAATTGCCTCAACCTTCATTAAGAGTCTCCTCTCACCCCATCAACAAAACACTTCACTTCTTAATCAAGAACTTCCTTTCTTGAATGAATAATTCATGTGTGGAACAAAAAGAAGGGGGAAGAAAAGGTGAAATGTTTACTTGAGCATTGTCAGGTTCATCTTTAATTTTGTCTAGTAGTCCCTGCTGTGGTGCCATTGCTTTGTCATACTCATCATCCAAAGGTTCTTCTTTAATTCTAACATTTGATGCAAAGGAATTCCCCAGTTCCGAACCAATGGATTCTTTATTGGCAAATGGATAGCTGGAATCCTAAAACACAATATAAAGGATTAATAAATATTCAGATTTTAAAATTATTCCTCTTCAGGTTTAACACCCAAAGAAAAGTTCACTGGAAATGAAGAACTCTACGGACATTCATTAGAGTCCCTACGCTTACAAGTAAATGTGATATATGTCTAAATATCAAATACAAATAAAGAATCTAAGAGCAGAGGCTTCTGAGAACATCTCCAAAGATGTCCTTACGAAAATAATAAAGGAAATTAAAAAAAATAAAATCAGCGCTCTACCTAACACATACAGTTACAGTTTAGAAAATCACATAAAGAAAACTTGCCACAGTTATAGCAATCTACATACACACTGAAAACTTACCCTAAAGTTTGTTTCTGGGGTTTGTGGTAAATGGGTATGTAATGTTTCTTCAACTTGATTAGCTATTGAAAGAAAAACAAAACAAAACAAAACAAACACATGTATATGAATAACAAATCTTACAAAGAGTGACCTAAAAAGCTATCATTTGATAATCACCTCTCTTTTCCAATGAAGCTGCTCATTAGAGTGAAATGGGTACCAAAAATACCCAAAAGGTAGTTTCACTCGAAACAAACAATCTGGCCCCATCTAACTTTTAGCCTTGCCTCATGCTCTTTCCTTGTTCAAACCTAAATAAAGTGGTTACATTATCCACTATGTTCTGAAAATTACTTATGTTTGTTCTTCCCCATCTCTGCTTGTATCATTCCAAGTCCCCTCTATCCTAGTATTTATACAGTCTTCCAGACTCAGCTCAGTTCAAAATTCACCTCTCCTCTATAAAACCTGCCCTTGTCCACTGAGTTAAAAATCATCTCTCTCCTAAGAATACCTAAAACAGTTTCAGTTATTTGATAGAAATTTTATTATGCTGCCTTATAACAAACTCTTCTACTACTGTCTTTAATTATAAATTAAGTTTTATGCTATTCAACTGGTCGTTGACACTTCTGCTACTTGCCTTGTCTTGTCCCTTCTGCTATTAGACCCTATGTTCCTTGAAGATAAGTACCCTTATAATTCATCCCTCATAGGGATACTGAAAATACATACTGAATAATACATACTGAAAAATACAGTATACCCTTGTACAGTCTTGTACATAATGGATACTTAAATTAATTGTTATTTTTAACAATACTGATTTGTCCTTTCAATCAGAGTTTTCCTAGCACTGTCAAAAGAAATACAAGGATTGGTATATTCTACCAAGCTTTCTTTCACACCTATTGAACATTTATTGAAATATTACTATTTTCACTACACCACATTAGGCCCCAAGAACACAAAGATGAATAAGATACAATCTGGCCCTCAATAAACTCCTACACTAGCATGTAAGGCAAAACAAATAGAGCTATAATACCGTGTGGTAAGTACTATAAATAATGAGGCATAAACAAAATGCTATGGAAATATAGATAAGGAAACAAACATTCTTGATGTAGAGAGGTTAGGGATGACCATAGGGCAGAAGAGGTTTATGAGTTAGGTGTTGTTGAATAAGAAGCACTTTTACAGGCATATATACAAAGAGAGAAAACGACATTCAGGCAAATGGAACAGCAGGAGGAAAGAGAGGCACAGAAATAAGAAAATGTATATATTCAAGAATGGAACTGAAGCTAAGTATAGGGTACGATGGGCAAAGAGGCTCAAGAGGAGTCTCAAGAAACTTCTAAAACATAAAATAGAAATGTTATCAAAAAGAAAAACCCTCCCTAATTTGGACTAATTGGTGGGACAGCAGTTTGAATTAGTGCTTACAGCACAAAGAAGTTAAATCCAACTTCAGGTTCCAATGTTCAACCAAAGAAAATGAACAGGTGATTCGAGTATCTTGCCTTCTCATCAAAATATTGCAACCAGGGGAGGGAGAAATGAGGTTTAGAGCTATTTTTCAACCATTTATACCATTACCAATAGTTACTGGGAGAAATTCAGTCACTCTGCAAAGAACAAGGATAAAAGAAAAATGACAAGCTTACAATGAATTTAACTGTTCATACTTTGCTTAGCATCAGAAGTAATAAAAGCTGTATTATTATCAGTACGTTATTTATTGTGTTTTATGGCTCTATTCCAACAATTATTACCTGCTTTATCAAAAAAACTGCTTTTCAACCTTGAATCCAACTCTTTATGGGGTTTATCCAACCGTTTTTCACGTTCAAGATAAGTTAGGTCTCTATTTTTCTCCTTTCCAGAAAAAGTCTCTTTGCTGTTTTCTCTTACTAGACTAAAATCTTTCCGTATTGATTTAAAGACAGAAACCTGATCAAATTGTTTAGGAAAGTCTTTTTTTAATTTATTTTGAATCTGTATTTCATTTTCATTGTCTGATTCATGCTGTGTGACTCTTCTCTCTACTTCCAAGCTATCATCAGTATGAATTGAAGAAACAAGATTGTCCTTTGAACTAAAATCCTGTTCATCCTCATTGTCACTACCAACGACTGGAATTCCTGCAAGATCCCCAGAGTTCAAAAAATAATCATCTTCATCCAGCAATGAATTTTCAGATCCTGTTTGATTCGGCATTCCATAAGACATGCTGTCAAGGGTAGGAGTTAAGTTGTGGTCTATATCTTCAGACATTTCTGTATCCATGATACCACCACCTTAAAAAGTAAAATACTGTTTAGACAAATGATAGTGCTAAAGATGACCATATTTATAAGGTCTGTCTGGCATTTAACCAAATATATATTTTTTCTTTTCAAACAAAATATAGATAATAATACTGTGGTATTCAATTAGCACTTTGATATAGGTGTGACAGATAAAATATCCCTATCTGACAGATAAGGAAATAGGGACGTAAAACTTGAGAAACTATTTCAGGTTAGAAAGAAAGTCAATGCAATATAGAAAAAAAGAGCACCAACTTCAGAATTAGACATATCTGTGTTGGAATCATAGCATGATTAACTGAAAATCTATGTGATCCTGAGAAGTAAATTCTCAGGCTTCTTTATCTGTAAAACAGTGTAATACTCACCTTGGAGATTAATTTGTGGTGAGGTTTAATGACAGTATGTAAAAAGGGCCTAATAACACAGTGACTGACACATAGAAGGGAATATAAAAGTGATAATTATAGTTATCATAGAGACTACTCTGGGGAGCTGAGATTAGAACCCAGATCTCTGACCTCAGAGTCCTAATTTCTCTGCACTAACGCTAATAAACACTTACAGCAGTTAATGTTTATAATGGTAAATATTTAAACATAAAAATAAAATTTATCCAAGCCAGAATATATATTAAAAACTTTCTACTGTTCAAAACTACATGCTAAAGTCTCTTCCATTCCAAAACAAAACAAACAAAAAAAACCCAGCCCTGTATTTCTTTTTCCTGACCTAATTCACCTTTCTTTCACAAACACCTAGGGAAAAAGTTTACATTGGTTTGTTTCTACTTCATCTCCCAGTCATTAATCCTTTGAACTTAATGCAATCTGGTTCCCAACTTCGCATCGGAACTTCTCTCATTAAGATCATCAATGATTTCCTCATGGTCAAGTCCAATTATTTTTTCAATCCTTACGTGGCATATCCCTCCTAGATAAAATACCTTTGGTTTTTTTGTATTGTTCCCTAATTTTATAATTGTCCTATTAATTTATTTCATATGTCTCTTCCTCTGCTTTATGTGCTCAGTATTCCAATTCTCGTCTCATTTTATACACTCAGACTATATGATTCACCACTATAGCCTTGACTTTTGCTGTTGACTTCCTAAGCGTTTTAGCTTAGACCTTTCTTCCAAACTTCAGATATCTATATTCAATTAGCTTCTATAGGTCCCCTAGGGACCTTTAACTTAGCACTTCTAAAACCAAATTCATCATGTTCCCATTCCAAGCATACTTTCTTGTTTTCCCGTCATTTAATTAACAGCATCACCAAGTCAGCAATTTGCTCAAGATAAAAAAGAGAATCACTCCAATTCTCCTTCCCCTTGGACAAATTCTGCAAACTGTATTAATTAATATCTCTCTCAAATCCATCTCCTCCACTTGGTACCATTCCAACGCTCCACATCTCTTCCTGTTAACAGTGCGCTAACTCAATCCACATGATATCTAGGAGGCAGCCATATTCTTACAAATCCTGCCCTGAAGCCATATTTAATTGGTCCATGAGCAGACAAACTAGAACTGGTAAAAACACAGAGTGAAGCAAAGACTAAAAATATTAGTGGCACCGACAGCCTTGCTTTTATTTGTTCCTGAAGCCCAGATGAACCCTTTGTGTGGCTGGATCTTCAAATCATTCCCTGGGTTCCATGATCCAGGATAAATTCCTTTTTTTGTTCAAGCTGATTTGATTTGAGTTGGATTACTTATAATCAAGTTCTAACTGATACAGGGTCCAAACGAAAGCTTTCTTCAAGTTGCTCTCCTCCATAAAGACATCAGAATTATCTTTCTACACCATTAATCATTCTACATTATACCTTCACTTGAAATCCTTCAATAACATCCCACAGCCTAAAGTACTCACTCATTCATTTATTAGGAAATCACTCCTTGATAAGTACTATGCTAGATGAAAAAGATAGCTATGATTCCCTCTCCTCAGCGAACCAGAAAAACAGACAAATGGAGGAAATAATAAAATTAGAAAATCACCATTTTCACTTAACTAAGTAATTAATTCAAACAAAGATGCTAATAAAATCTTAGAAATTTCTACAACTTACTTTCACATAGTATATATATTACAGAGAGAAAGGGCTTCCCTGGTGGCGCAGTGGTTGAGAGTCTGCCTGCCGATGCAGGGGACGCGGGTTCGTACCCCGGTCCGGGAGTATCCCACATGCCGCAAAGCGGCTAGGCCTGTGAGCCATGGCCGCTGAGCCTGCGCGTCCGGAGCCTGTGCTCCGCGATGGGAGAGGCCACAACAGCGAGAGGCCCATGTACCGCAAAAAAATAAAATAAAAATAAAGGAGCAGGGTGTTAAAACACACACATACATATAGTGTGATAAATTTGCCAGACTGTAAGCAGCTAAAGGTCAGGGTTAGAACCTCCTCTTTACAACAGTTTATCCTTACTACCTGACCACACAGCATATGCTCAGTAACTGTTTCATGCATGAAATATGCACTTTGTGTGATCAACAGTTTAATCTAAGTTCTATAGTATATAAGAAGTCAACTAAAAAGTAACATTGCAAGCAACTTCCAAAATCTCTATGTTTTAATTCAGGATATGGTACTGGGAAAAAAGGTAACCACCTGAAAAAACTGGATCCCTAACTCATACCAAAATAACTTCCAGATGTATTTAAGGTTTAGACATAGAAAATAAAACACTAGTATTAAAAAAACCATGGAAGAATTATTTTTAGGAGAAAAATCTCTCTAAGAATGACAAAACCTAGAATAAAAGACTGATTTACTGAATAAAAGACCAAATGTGACTATAAAAAAATTCCTAAAGAAAACATAACCCAAACCAAAAGATTAAAGACAAAGTTGTTCAAAACATTTTACTGCACTTTATATCACGAAAGGTCATTTCCCTAATGGACAAAGATTAAGACTCATAGTTCAATAAAGATACCAAAAACCAAATACATTTGTAAAAGCAAAGGATCTGAACAAACATTTCACAGGAAAGGAAACACTAAGGTTGAATTTTGCTCATAAGTGAAATGCAAATTAATAATGCAATTAGATAACAGGTTCACACAGCAGGCTGATAAAGACAAAAGGTTTTGATAACAGCCTGGCAGCTATGCTATTGGCCAAAGCTGCCAGACTATGACCTGAGGCCAGAAAAGTATACAAAGAAGAGTGTGGCATAGACCGTATGTGAGCTGAAAAGCCTAAAATATTAATATTTACTATGTGGCCCTTAACAGAAAAAAAGTCTGCCAATCCCTGTAGTAGAATACTATTAGAGGAAGTATAAAATGGTACAGTCGTAAAAAAGAGCAACCAGGCAATACTTATGATACTTTAAATACACATACCTCTTGATCCAGCAATTCAACTTCTAAGAATTTATCCTACAGATATTTCTCAAAAGATCTATGAAAAAGAACATGTATAAGCAGCAAAGACTGGAAACAGCCTATCTGTTCAACAGTGAGGCTCAATTAATTACAGTACATACCTATAATGGAATATCATATAGCTGTTAAAAAGAATGAGGCAACTTTATAGGAGTTCTCAGGGTCAACTAGTAAAAATATCTGAGTGAGGAAGAATATACATATATATGTTATCCTACCACTGCTGTATGTTTTATAATTTATGTGTATGTACAACTGTTTATACATTAAAATACCTTCCACTGATTTTCTGTGACACCAGAATCAGGTGGCTATAAGACAGAAAAACTAACTCTTCAAAGCATATCCTTCTGTATCTTGAGTTTTGAAGCACATGCATCTATTGTCTATTGAAAAAAAATTTTTTATCCTTGAGTGCACTCAAGCTTTTTCAGAGATGGCAATTTCTAATAAAGGATCTAATTTGAATTTGCAATTTTGCTAGTTATCACACAATAAATCTGTAGGCTGCATAAAATCTTATGAGATTAAATTATGTTAGTTATATTTTAATATATATAATTAAATGGAACAGAATTGTACTCATTCTTGTGGCCCAAATAAAAGAAATAGCTTCTGTTTCTCAGAGCCTACATCTACAGAAAAAATGCAACACTAAAATTATATTTGGGGATCACAGTAGATAATGAAACACTTGAAAGCAAATTTCTCACAGAAGATTCCTAGCTAGTTTTTAGACACTGTGAACAGGCTTGGTATGTTTGAGGGAAAGCAAGGAATATAGGGCTGGAATTGAACAGGCATGAGGAAGAGTGCTTAAAAATGACGAAAGAGAAAAAGCCAGAGGATACATATATTAGGAATCTGCAAACCACAAAAAAGATCCCAAAGAGTAATTCCATGATTTACGTTTTACAAGGAACACCCCAGCTTCTGCAGGAGTACTTTAAGGCTGTTAAATGTTACAGGGAGTGAAGAAGGGAAGGAAGAACACCACATAGGAGGCTAATGCAATAATCCAAGGGAAAACTGGTGGCTAAGACCAGGATAGTAATGGTGGATGTGAGAAAGAGTAGTCAGATTTGGGTATAATTTCAAAGTAGAGGCATTTCTTGGTATATGAGAAGCTGAATATAAAAAGTCAAAAAGAGCACAACAGGGTGCCGTTTCTTGAGATGTAAACACTAAGGGAGTAACAGACTGAGAGGGGTAGAATGAATAGTTTGGTTTGGACCCATTAATTTTGAGAACCTTATTAAACCTTCAAATGGAGATATCAAGAAGGCAACTGGACATATTCAAGGGTTAAAGAGGAGACTCTTGCCAAGAAATGACATAAATTTGGGAGTCATCAATGAAGTTCATGGGACTAGTTAAGATCACCTAGTGACTGTACTTATTACTGATGGAAGAGAGCTGAGAGTCTTTAGATACTTCAACTTTTAGAAATCTGTAGAAAGGAAGGAATCAGAGAAAGAGGCTAAAATGGAACAGCCAATGAGGTAGGAGGAAAATCAGGTGGGTGATGTTATAGAAGCAAAGTGAAGAAAATATTTCAATAAGAAAGAAGTGGCCAACCATAATGAATGTTG